ATATAAAATACATAAACAGCCCTGCTCCAATATATATTATACATAGAGAAACAGCCCTGCTCAACTTCCATGGGCAAATGGTTGAACAAGCCAGTACACACCAGCTATGGAATACTACTCAGCAAAAACAAAACCAAAAAAGAATGAACTCTTGGTACACAGAATGACTTGATCAGTCTTCAGGGAATTAGACTGAGTGAGAACAAAGACTGGCCCTTAGCAGCCATATTTCTATGAACATTCTGTTGTGACCACCTTGGTCATCTCTAAGGAGACGGAGGCTTTCTTTACAGCCCTCTTCTGAGCCCTCACCAGAATAGCGTTCATAGTCCGTTCATGACAATAGAGGCATTTTTTCCCAGCCTGTTCCTCCAAACTCAGCTCTGCCCAGCTCCAAAAAGCTGCTTTCACTTTTTTTTTTTTTTTAGATGGAGTCTTGCTCTGTCGCCAGACTGGAATGCAGTGGCGCAATCTTGGCTCACTGCAACCTCTGCCTCCCAGTTCAAGGGATTCCCCTGCCTCAGCCTCCTGAGTAGCTGAGACAGACACATGCCACCATGCCCAGCTAAGTTTTTGTATTTTAGTAGAGACAGGGTTTCACCATGTTTGCAAGGATGTTCTCGGTCTCTGGACCTCATGATCCGCCTGCCTGGGCCTCCCAAAGTCCGGGGATTACAGGCCTGAGCCACCATGCCCGGCTGCTGCTTTCACATTTTAAAATATTTGTTATAGAAACATTCCCACTTGGTACCAATTTCTGTCTTAGTCTGTTCAGGCTGCTGTAACAAAATACCTTTAACTGGGTAATTTATAAACAATGGAAGTTTATTGCTCACCGTTCTGAAAGCTGAGAATCCAAGGTCAAGGCACCAGGAGCTTTGGGGTCTGGTGAGAGCTCTGTCTGCTTCACAGATGGCACCTTGTATCGCCCGCTTATGGCAGCAGGAGCCAAGTCAGTGTTCTGCATGGTGAAAGGTCAAGGCAGCTCCCTTTAGCCTCTCCTCTAAGGGCCAGTAATCCCATTCATGAGGCAGAGCTTCCTGACTTACTCACTTCCCAGAAAACCCCACCTCTTAATACTGTGGCATTGTGTTTTAGGTTCCAACAGGTGAATGTGGGGGTCGGTGGGGGGACAGCGGCATTCAGACAGTAGCACCATCTTGACCTCATGACCCGTGGCTAAGTAGGATGGAATATCTTCCTGTCTTGCCTTCTTTGTTGTGTATGTTAATACATCAGGGTTCTGCAGAGAAACAATCAATAGAATAAAGACATAGAAGAGGGGGTGTATCATGGGCATTGGTTCATGTCATTATGTGGAACTCAGGAAGTTCCACAGTCTGTCCCCTGCAGGTTGGAGACCCAGGAAAGCTGCTGCTGTCGTTCTGTTTGAATCTGAAGGCCTGAGATCAAGAGGATGTAATGGTGTAATTCCCAGTCCAAGGCCAAACGCCGGGGAACCTGGAGTTCTGATGTCTGCGCGCAGGAGGCGAGGCATGTCCTTGCTCCAGAAGAGTGAATCCACCTGTCCTCTGCCTGCTCGTCCCATCCAGGCCCTCCACAGATTGGAAGGGGCCCACTCACACTGGACGAGGCTGGATCATCCTTAGTTGACTGATTCAAATGCTCATCTCTTCCCAAAGCACCCTCGTAGACACACCCAGAAGCCATGCTTTTCCAGCTCTGGGTGTCCCTGCACTCAGTTACCCGTACACCAGAAACTGTCACACTGGAAAAGATGTAAGTATATATGTTGATTTCTTTCCCCCCTCAGCCCCCTTCTGTTTTATAAAGAGCCTGTTTAGAGTCCACACATTCAGAACACCGGATGGGACCACAGGAGAGGAGCAGCTGTCACCAGCAGACCCTGGCTTTGGAGATCCTGGCTTTGAAGATCCTGGCTTTAGATGCAGTCAGCGATGAGAAGTTACAGTGTCCCCTTTTGGGAAGAGGATGAGTCCGTTTTCATCTGTAGGAGGAAGGCGAATGGGGAGCGTTTTGTTGCTCCTGCTCTATGGAGGAGGGCGTAGCTGCTGCTGGGCTGTGAGAGGCCAGACGGTGGGGACGCCTGTCGTGCAAAGCCTTTTCCTGATCAGGAATGAGTGAATGGTACGTTCCACCCACCCAGTGTAGAGAACACAGCCTGCTTCCCCAGCCGCCCTTGCAGCTACTGAGGTAGGAGGTGGGGCTCAACTCTGGAGGCGGGACTTGGACACCAGACCTAATGAGGACCAGCTAAAACAGGGGTGGGGAGCAAGAGGCAGCGTTCCATAAGACACACCCACAAGTGCGCCATGCCACCTTACCACTACCATGTCAACACCTGAAAGACACTGCCCCTTTCCGTGGAAGGTACCAAGCTCCTCCTGGAAATTTCTGCATAATCCCCTCCCTAATTTGCATGCAAGTAAAAGTGGGTATGAGTGCAGCCCAGCCTCCAAGCTGCCATTCTGGACACCCTGCCGTGGGGTGGCCCTGCAGTGGGGTGGCTGTGGGGTGGCCCTGCCGTGAGGTGGCCATGGGGTGGCCCTGCTGTGGGGTGGCCCTGCCGTGGGGTGGCCCTGCTGTGGGGTGGCCCTGCCGTAGGGTGGTCCTGCTGTGGGGTGGCCCTGCTGTGGGGTGGCCCTGCTGTGGGGTGGCCCTGCCGTGGGGTAGCCGTGGGGTGGCCCTGCCGTGGGGTGGCCCTGCCGTGGGGTAGCCGTGAGGTGGCCCTGCCGTGAGGTGGCCCTGCCGTGGAGTGGCCCTGCCGTGGGGTAGCTGTGGGGTGGCCCTGCCGTGAGGTGGCCATGGGGTGGCCCTGCCGTGGGGTGGCCCTGCCGTAGGGTGGCCCTGCTGTGGGGTGGACCTGCTATGGGGTAGCCCTGCTGTAGGGTGGCCCTGTCGTGGGGTGGCCCTGCTCCCCAGGAGCGTACCTCTGCTGCTGCTGTACACTGCCACTTCAATAAAAGTCACTAACACCTCTGGCTCAGCCTTGAATTCTTTCCTGGGTGAAGCCAAAGCCCTACCTGCCTAAGCCCCAGTCCTGGGATTCGCCTGTCCTGTGCCACTAGAGCACAGACGTGACGGATCTGCCACTTGGACACGCCCACATGGGACTGACTCAGGTGAGAGGGAAGCAGAAAACATACTGCACAGACGTGCTCTCTGAGGGCAGCTGAGAGCTTAGTGTTGGAGGGAGAGGCAGTCAAGACAGAGCTTCTTATGAGCAGCCTTCAGCACTGTGAGCTCCAAGCTGGGTGGCAGTCACACCTCCCCAGGATACATGGTGCAGTGCGGTTTGGGTTTGGTTTTGGCTGCATGACCCCAGAGGCTGAGTCTCTGGTTCTCCTAGAGATTTAATTGGCTCCGTTGTTTGCAACCAGTAGCCCGGGTCCACCACCCACTGCCATGCTCTCCTGAATGCCACTGTGCACCAAGTTCTGTGCAGAGTGGAGGGAACACAGCATTGTTCAGTGCTTAGAGAACGTGGCTTTGGGATCGGACACTTAGGTTTGAATCAGGCTCCACCACTTTCTGGCTGTGTGTGCAAGTGGCTTTACCTCTCTGAGCTCCTTTGTTTAGGTTACCCAGCAGCCTCAGAAGGTTACGGGGTGAGGAGCGACCACAGAGTGTCCTCAGCACATGAGAGTTACAGTGTTAGGCCACAGCTCCACAGATGCACAGGGGTAGGTTTGGCCACAGGGATTTCCAGAGGCCCTGGCTGGAGACAGGCAGGAGTGAATGGACGCTCAAGGTGGGGTCCTGCTGAGCTGCTTTTCCTTCCCTGGAGGTGAGGGATTCCATCCTCTTCCCCACTCTCCACAGGTCCCAAGGCTGTCATCTGTAGTGACAGGAGGTTCATCCCCCCTGCAGCCAGTGGAACCTTAGGAGACACTGCTCCTCTATTTTGTTGCTGACCCTCCAGAGAGTTTAGAAAGCAGCTCTGCAGGCTGGGTATCTCTCAACCTGACCCCTGGAGTCCCCAGGTCCAAGCGTAGGAGAGGCTCTGGCTCCTCACCAGTCTTTTTTTTTTTTTTTTTTGCTTTGCGACAGAATCTTGCAGTGTCATCCAGGCTGGAGTGCAGTGGCATGATCTCGGCTCACTGCAACCTCTGCTTCCCAGTTTCAAATGATCCTCCTGCCTCAGCCTCCTGAGTAGCTGAGATTACAGGTGCATGCCACGATGCCTGGCTAATTATTTTATTTATTAATTTTTTTTGGTGTGATGGGATTTCACCATGTTGGCCAGGCTGGTCTTGAACTCTTGACCTCAACTGATCCACCTGCCTCGGCCTCCCAAAGTGCTGGGGTTACAGGCACGAGCCACTGTGCCTGGCGGCTACTCACCAATCTTTCCTGCTCTCTTCTCCTTCCAGCCACGCATGAGGGTTGGGTGTGCACACCCCCCGGAAGTAAGGCATGATGGCAGAACTTGCTTTGGATGATGACACAGAAAGCAGCGATATGCCACTTCTGCGCAGTAGCACTGCAGAGCCAAGGCGTGATTCTCCACCAATCTTTTCCCTGGCTCTGGTCAGTCTGGAGGCCCATGTGGATGTGGAAGTGCCCCAAGGTCAAAGCCCGGAACTCTGGGCCACCACATGGAGAATGACTGCCCTGAAGCATTTCCCCAGAGATACAGATGCTGAGTCACTGAGGTCAGGAGGTGGTTTGTTATTGCAGCTGAACTCAACCAACCCTAACTTACAGTCCTGGTTCTAGAAAGCCACATCATCGGGGGTAGGTAGGCCCAAGAGTGCCGCTAAGCCAGGGTGCCTCACTTCCTCTCACTGACCCTTCAGCAGGAAGGAAAGTCGGCCTCACTTCCTGTTACTGACCCTTCAGGAGGAAAGTCGGCCTCACTTCCTCTCACTGACCCTTCAGGAGGAAG